GCGAAAGGTGTCAGATGAAAGTAAAATCTGGCCATGGGCCTACTTGGACTGGGTTGAGTGGGTCCCTGCTATACGGAACTCTACGATCGACGAGTCGAAGGCTCGCTTCGAGGGTCTCGTCCGCGACAGGGTCAACACCTCGCCAGATCCACGTCGACCGCTGGGCGGTAATCCCACCAAGGTGATTGCGTTGGCGACGGCTGATGCTTCCGACCTGGGCGCGGGCGGCTCGGTCCGCATCTCTGAAGAAAACATTGCTAATTTCCGTTGTGCCTTTTGAGCGCTCTATGAACGAGTTTCCAGATGAGCATGTTCAAGGCCAAAGGTTGGGGGCCAGTAGACGCGCGCCGTGCGCCCCTTGTTTGGGATGGGTCCGACACGGGTTGCGTAGCAAGCAAATTAATTCTTGGATTCATTCCAGGTGGTACGGCCAGGAAGCGGCTGGTGACGTTATTCTTTGGCAATTTGCCCAGAACGATCGGCGGCGCCCATCCATCGGTCAAGCTGCCCTCATGGGCGTCTTCCGTATGGACCTGTGTCAATGTCCACAACGCCAACGATTCAGGCCATATTTTGTGGTTCGGGCAGCAAGGGGCCATCGTGCCGGGGGCGACCGTGCCTCCTTGGTGCTTCTTGTGCGTGGCGCGGGATGGATGCAGTTGCCATCCCAACGTGGTCGCACCGCGTGCATATATGGTTAGAGCCCCCCGTTCCACGTGATTCCTGCACGCGCGAAGGGGAACTGGCTCGGGCAAAGGCTAAACCAGCCCCGCCCGCATGCTCTAACGTCGCGTCGGCGAAAGCTGATGCGCCTCCTGCCGCTGCGTCGGCGCTAGCTGACGCAGACGCGGACCTCGATGTGTCTGATCGCCAGGATTGTGGCCCGATGCTTCCTTTACAGGGCAGGGAGGTCGTGCGAGGTGACGTCGCGCACGGTGCGCACCATTCGTCTGCCGCGGGAATCACCGATTCTGTGCGCTGGATTATGCAGCCTCCAGCTGACGCGGCGGTCACCACTCCCGAGATCCTTCCGTTTCGCAGGCTGGCATGGGTTCCTTCGAGCACCCGCGGCGGACCGGAACAACGCCCGCTTCTTATGGCTGCTGGGCGGGGCCCACAGCGCCCCGACGCCATTTGGGGCGCCGCGGGCTTCCACGCGAAGCTCTGTGCACCCGGAACCACGGGCGCGCTTGTGCTGTCTAGTCTTCATCTCAGAGACTTGCGCAAGCTACGAACGTTGCTTGCCGTGGGTCTTCCTGGAATTCGGAGTAGGGCATTCGCAGGCAGTTAATGGCGGAGCGGTCAGGTGGCGAGGGCCCGTCTACTAACGGCGCTTATAATATTTTCTTGCATCCTTGCTTCGCGCGTCTTTTCGAAATGACCTCCACTCCAACTTTTGGCACCGTATAGCGGAGAGTCATTTGTGCGACCGGGGAATTCCGCCGCTGGCCGAGCGCCCGGAACTTGACCGCGCGATGCAGCACATTCTTGTGGTGCCCCTGAGACGCCGCATGTTCAAGCTGCTTGCCGATCTCAGCGACAAAGGTGCAAGCGCTATTTGCCATGGGTGCCTTGCCCCAGCGAAGGAAGACGCGGTCGGTTATGATTTTGATCAGGGTCCCGTCCGCGGGGCTATCGGTGCTCGAGTGCCAGGCGCCCCCAATCCCGAGGAAGGTGAACATCTCGGCCTTCGGGGGCAGATCTCTGGCTAGAGCCAGGCGCCCATGCATGTCAGCAAATGAAGCGTCGTGCCGGTGAGAATGGCTACGCCACACTGGCGGAGCAGTGGGGCGGAAGCGACCGATGGCGGGAGTCGATCCAGGCAGAGGCGTAGTCTCATGCGTATAAGGCGTCGGACCGGCCTGGGGGCCGACTGTCGTGCGTCTGGGTCGATGCGCGTGGCGCTCGAGCAGTTGATCGCGCTGTCCCTGCCCATCTCGCTGCAGCAGACACTTGGCTCGACGCGGCGAGTCACTGCAACGGCGAACTGCTCGGGGAAATGTCGCGCGAGTCGCTGAGGGTGCAGGCTTACGGGGAGTTGCGATTGTGCAACAGGCAGCCACACGGGCTAAGGGTGGCGAATTTATTCGCGCGCCCCCGCCCAAAGCAGACGTGGCAAAGCCGAGACGTTTGTTTGATCAGCCGCCGCAACCGCCGCCTGTCAAACAAAGGGTGTCATCGTCCAGTGCGCCTTGGAAAAACGACCGCCCGATTGCTGAAGGTGCACCGCCGCCTGCTAGGGCTAGTTGAAGCGGCCCAGCGTTGGCGAAAGCTGGCGCTGCGCTTGCGCCGGCGAGCGCGGGCGCCGAACCTGCGGGGCCTGGCCTGGGCGTTTCTAGGTGCACCCTGGATCGCCAATTGGGATCGCCGGGCATCGCGCCCTGGAGATTGCAGGGGCCACTTCGCCCTCCAGGGGAATCGGCGGCTGAGCGTCGTCAAAGGCGCCGTGCTCCTCGCCAGCTATGCCGAACCATTAGGCCTGTCCACGAGACCAGACCGAGGGCGGCACAGCGCGGAGAATATGGCTCGCAGGCGCGAGGCCCCAGATGGCATCTACAGGTGTCGGGCCGCCAGGGTCGCGCCGATGCGAAGCAGATTGGGCGGGCTGCGGCCTCGAGCTCAGGACATCCTGCAGCCGCGCGCCAGCCCGCGAGGCTCGTATATTTAGAGAACGAGAGCCCGTGGGAGAACAGAACGGCTCCTTTTAGTGGAGATGATTCGTGGAACAGCGAGTGTGCGCGACGGGCTATTGCGATCGTGGCAGGTGGGCTCCGGATGGTAAGACTCGTCGCTAAGCGTCGGCGCAGGGCGACGATAGTCTTACTGTCCATGTCTTTCTCCTGTTTCTTTTCCCTTTTCGCGCTCGCGCGCCGCCGCGGAGCGATGGATTTCAGGTGCGTCGTCTTCCCGGCCTCCTTGGACCGGGTTTTCTGCGGTTGCGAGATCTTTCTCGCTCTCATATTCAAAAAGTTTCTGCTCTATTTGCGCGGCCGCCCCATCTCTGTCGGGGGTGGGGCGTCTCCTGCTGTCTCACCCACACCCGCTAAACTTGCGCCAGTTTTTGGGTCCCGGGCTTCTTCCCCTCTTTCTTGGGTGGGGCCCCAGGGTGGTCTTCTCACTGCTAAGAGCCCCCCCTGGTGGGGGTGCTTCGGCGGAGTGTGTGTGTGTGTGTGTGTGTGTTTTGCCCGTCGTTGTCGGCGTATTTTACTTTGAGCGGTGGCCCCGCGTGGTTCCGGAGGCCCTCGAATCCTTCCAGCGCCCCCCCCCCGAGGCGTGTGATGGTTCGCGGGGCCTGATGGTGAGAAAGGCGCTCGCGTCTGCGCGCTTGCTCTCCTCCTCGTCCCCGTCGGGTCGTCTTGCTATCAGTTCTCACCACTTGCATCATCACCCCGCAGGACCTCGGCCGCTCTCATAGCCGAGCCGAGGCCTGTTCCATAAGGGGTGGTTTGGCCCAGCGGCTACAGTCGGGGCGCTGAAGAAGGAACCCTTTTCGATGGTTGGAGGGGCTTGCTGTTCCTTCATTGTTTCGCAGTTTGCCTAGGGTTTTCCTGAGGCTTTTCCTGGGACATCGAAGTTTACCTTTTGGAAAAAATGGGGCCTCGTGCCTTATTTAGGGCTCCTTAGGTCAACGCCCCGACTGTGTTCTATCATTCGGCCCAGCACGTGCCGACATGGGCGGGGGGGGGCGCGCGCGAGCCCTGGTGCCGGGGCCCTCGGTGAAGCTCTCTCGCTGGGGCCGCGGAGCGCGCCCGGGGCTTGCCGGATTGGGCCACGGGGGCGCGCGCGAAGACGGCCCTTTTGGGCCTCCTCCCTCCCTCCTCCCTCCTCCTCCTCCTCCTCCTCCTCCTCCTCCCTCCTCCCTCCTCCTCCTCCTCCTCCTCCTCCTCCTCCTCCTCCTCCGTCCTCCTCCTCCTCCGTCCTCCTCCTCCTCCTCCTACTCCTCCGTCCTCCCTTCTCAGCGTTTTTCTCCTTCTCCCGGCGGCGCGCCCAGGGCGGGAACCGTGTGAGGAGTGCGCCGACGTGGGCGGGGGTCCGCATGCGGGAGCGGCCACTCCACTGGCGGCTTCATGGGGGAGCTCCTAATGGGGCCACGGAGCGTGTGAGAGGTGTGCTGAAATGTGTGGGGTGTTCGTATGTGTGCGTGTGCGTATGTGTGTGTGTGTGTGTGTGTGTGTCTGTGTGTGTCTGTGTGTGCCGAAATGGTCTGACGGAGGGCAGAGGCACGGATGGGATGAGGGAGCAAGGGGAGGAGCGGGAGGAGGAAAAAAGGAAGGAGGAAGGAGGAAGGAGTGACGCGGGGCGCTGTCTCTTCAAAAAGAGGACCAACCACCACACCATGGTTGGGACAAGTCGCGTTTTCTTCGGCATCCAAGGGCCCTCACAGGGCCCCAGGACCGCTGAAAAACGACTCGGGATGAAACGGTGGTCCCGGGACAGGGGCTAAACCTTTGGGGGCTCGCTGTGAGATCATCGCAATGTCATAGATTTGGGTATTCAGGCAGTCCGGCGCGGCCTGAGGCGTGCATGGCGCTGTTGCGCATTCTGCCGCGGCAGATCCAGTTTGATTTCGACCTCGTGCCGATGCGGCCCGACCCAACGCCCATCCCGACTCAAGCCGGTTTCTAGATTTGATGGTTGACTGATCCTGTTTGGGCCACCGTCGTGCGCCACGATTCCACGACCCAGGACTCGCCACTGCGCCCCAGGTGGGAGATCAACCTCTTAGACACGCCCCTGCTCACACCCCAACCCCACGAGGGGCTGGAGTGAGGGCTCGGCTGAACGCCCGTGCCTCTGGAACTCCGTTCTTTTTTCTCCGTGCCCTGCCGTACCCCATGGACGTCCAGAGTGGGAAGCACCAGGAGCAGTATGGGGGATGGACACAGCGTCGATCGCGAACCAGGGGCGCCTCCTCCGGCTACTTGGCCTCGACCCTCGGCGCCACGCCGTCAGTGCGGACGTCCTCGGCACTCTCGGCTGGCCCCGTGGACCCCCACCAGGCCCAGGCTTCGCGGCCAGCCGCCCAGGGCGGCCTGCTCTGGGCCGCGGCCGTCACCGAGGAGGGCGGGGCCGGCGTCGACCTGACGCGGACGGCCGCGGCCACGGAGCGCCGGGAGTGGCGGAGCTCCGCGGCGGCTCGCGGCCCCGGCGCAGCTGCGCAGGGCCCGGCGGAGGCGGCGGGCACCCTGCAGCTCGCGCCGCCCCCCGACCAGGTCCCCGAGCCCTGCTGGCGAGGGGGGCCAAGCCATTGGCGTATACTTCAGCTGTAGGCTGTCGGGAGCCCTGAGAGACGAGGGTCCCCGAGCCCTGCTGGCGAGGGGGGCCCCGCCAGTGGCGTATAGTTCAGCTTTAGGCTGTCGGGAGCCTTGAGAGACGAGGGTCCCTGCAAAACGGGGGGGTCGGCGCTCGAGCGCCAGATCCTTGCAGGATCCTGCAGGGCCAGGGCTGCACTGGCCTGGGCTGGCGCGCAGGATCCTGCAGGACCCTGCAGCGCCCGACTTGACCCGGGCTTTTGCATGGACCCGGGTCCGTCGATCCCCGAGACGACCGAAGTGGTTACGGAAAGAATGGACACAAAGACCGACCATAGTCCCTGCTCATTTTGAACAGGACTCGCTGTCGGTGTCGCCGCGGACACTTGCCCAGGTGAGACAGAAGGCGCCTGCCCGACAGCGACCGCTGCTGTTTTTGGATAACGTTTGTCGTTGGGCATTGTGTGCATTTTCGTTCGCACCCACTTCGAACGTCCAAACTGAAGCGCAGGCCCAGGAGGCACCCGCGGGGACGAGCACCCTGCAGCCGCCCAGGTGCCCTCTCGCGGGCGCCTGGCGGGCCTCCGCCTCGTCCCCGTGGTCTTACCGACGGGGCGGGTGCGGTCGGCGCCTGCTTGCTGCAGATCCGTGTGTCGGCGGCGAGCGACGGGGGGCAGGTGAGAAGGAGAAGGCCTCCTCAGAAGGCGGCGGGACTTCTCAGGAGCCCTCGCAGGTACTGTCTGAGGGGGGGGGTTCAAACCTCCTCCCGTGACGGAGGGGGGGGGTTCGAACCCCCCCCCATCCCCTCCCTCTCCCTCTCCGCGGGCCGGCGCCGGCGGCGGCTGGCGGCAGCGGCGGGGAGCGTCGATGAAGACGACGACTTCCTTTTCTGGGCTGGCGCCGGCGCCTGCGGCTGCGGGCGGCGGCGGCGGGGAGCGTCGACGAGGACGACGGTGACGACGACGACGACGACGACGCTCCGCCACCGTGCCTTGGTTTTGGGTCAGAGTCCTAATGGATGCCTCTTGGGGTCTCGTCGGAGGGCTCCCGGTGGCCTCTGAAGGGCATTTGTGAAGCCTCCTGGGCGCCTTCTGGGCGTCTGATCGGGCCTCTCTGAGGTGGTGGTGGTGGTGGTGGTGGGTGGTGGTGGTGGTGGTGGCGGTGGTGGTTGTGGCGGTGGTGGTGGTGGTGGTGGTGCGCTGGTTGGTGGTGGTGGTGGTGGCAGGTTGTGGTGGTGGTGGTGGTGGCGGATGTGGTGGTGGTAGTGGTGCGGTGGTTTCTGGTGGTGGTGGTGGTGGTAGTTATGGTGGTGGTAGGCTACGGTGGTGGTGGTTGTCGCGGTGGTGGTGTGGTGGTTTGTTGTGGTGGTTGTGGTGGTGGTAGTGGTTGTGGTGGTGGTGGTGGGTTGTGGTGGTGGTGGTGGTTGTTGTGGTCGATGGTGGTGGTGGTGGTGGCTGTGGTGGTGGTGTTGGTGGTGGTGTTGGGGTGGTTGTTTGTGGTAGTGGTGGTGGGTTGTGGTGGTGGTGGTGGTGGTGACGGTGGTGGTGGTGGTGGTGGTGGCGGTGGTGGTGGTGGTGTGGTGGTTTGGTAGTTGTTGTGGTGGTGGTGGTGGTGGCGTGGTGGTGGTTTGTGGTGGTGGTGGTGGTGGTGGGGTGGTGTGTGGTGGTGGTGGTGGTGGTGGTGGTTGTGGTGTGGTGGTTTGTGGTGGTGGTGGCGGTGGTGGCCGTGATGGTGGTGGCGGTGGCTTGTGGAGGTGGTGCTGGTGGTGGTGGTAGTGACGGTGGTGATGGTTGTGGTTGTGTGGTGTTTTGTGGTGGTGGTTGTGGTGGTGGTGGGTTGTGCTGCTGGTAGTAGTGGTGGTGGTTGTGGCGGTGGTGGTGGTGGTGGTAGTGGTGGTGGGTTGTAGTATTTGTGGTGGTGGTGGTGGGTTGAGGTTGTCGTGGTGGTGGTCGTGGTGGTGGTGGTCGTGGTGGTGGCGGCGGTGGTGGTGGGCTGTGGCGTTGCTGGTGTTGCTGGTGCTGCTGGTAGTGGTGCTGGTGGTGGTGGTGGGTGGTGGGTGGTGGCTGGTGGTAGTGGTGGTTGTGGCGGTGGTGGTGGTTGTGTGGTGGTTTGTGGTGGTGGTGGTGGTGGCTGGTGGTGGCGGTGGTGGTGGTGGTTTGTGGTGGTGATGGTGGTGGTAATGGTGTGGTGGTTTGTGGTGGTGGTGGTGGTGGTTGTGGTGGGTTGTGGTTGGTTGTGGTGGTGCCGGTGGTGGTGGCGTTTTTGGTGGTGGTTGTGGTGTAGTGGTTTGTGGTGATGGTGGCGGTTGTGGTGGTGGTGGGTTGTGGTGGTTGTGGTGGTTTGTGGTGGTTTGTGGTGGTGGTGGTGGTGGTGCGGTGGTTTGTGGTGGTGGTGGTGGTGTGGCTTTCGGCTCTTCCCGCCGCTGTGTTTTGGCTTTGGGGCAGAGTTCTAATGTATGCCTCTTGAGGTCTCATCAGAAGGTTTCTCGGGGGCGTCTAAGGAGCATGCGAGGGCTCGATATGGCGATTTGTGTGTTCCCTCTGCGGCCTCTGGGCCCTCTCTTGTCATCGTCGCTGCGTTCCCGCCGTCGGCGCTGCTGGCCGCCGCCAGCGCCGTCGCTGGCGCCGGCGCGGGGGGGGGTTTGAACCCCCCCCCTCCTGAGCCCTCTCTGGTCATCGTCGCTGCGTCCCCGCCGTCGGCGCTGCTGGCGGCCGCCAGCGCCGGCGCCAGGGGGGCGGTTCGGGAGGGGAGGGTTAGGGGGGAGTGGAGTCCCTCTGGTTTTAATCCACGGCGCCGAGTGTTGGGGGGGGGCCCACCCCCGGGTTCGAAACGCGCCGCCGAATGTTCCCAAGGCAAGCGCCCGTGAAACGCGCTCTGTCTGAGGTCCATGAAGGGCCGCCAGAGGCCGAAAATAATGCAAATCCTCCCGTCGCGTCTTTCCCGCAACGCGAAGGGGTCTGGTTTCTCACTTCCTCCTCGGGCTCGCCGCCGAGTGTGGCCCTTGGCCCCGGCATGCCGCTGGATGTCCACCATGGGGGCCAGAGTCCGTCGCCTCGTCTCGCAGCGGTCGTTCGTTTCGCCTGGTCTCTTCCTCGGTCTTCCTTCTCCTCCCCCCGTGGGCGCGCGCATCGCGCGCGCATGCGCGTGCATGGAGTGCCGCGTGCGCGCGTCGCGCGTCGCCTCCCTGGGGCTTGGCCCTCCCCGCTCGCCTCCTCTTCCTCTCTCCCCCTATCGTCTGTCGTCTGCTGTTTCCCCCTCCTCGGGACTGTCAAAAACGATTCGGAATGAAAACTGGTCCCAGGGAAGGGGTCTAGACCTCTGGGGTCGACGTTTTTACCAAAAAAAGTCACAACGTCGGGGGTTTCTGGACCCTCTCCTGCAGGCCCGCTTCCAGTGTGCACGTCTTACCCGCAGCATTTTTGGAGTTCGAATGTCTCGTTGGCCGAGCCCATGTCCGACAGGCACGATGCAGCAGTTAATTATGGCTCAGGTAGGAGGGGTCGGAGCATGGCAGTAGACCAGGGTGGGAGAAGAGGATGAACGGATCGAGAGGTTGAAGAGCAGTTCGACCGAGCTCACCGCGCATCACAGGGGCCAGCTTTGAGTTGCGTTCAACGCAACAGCTCAGAGTTTGCCATTGGGTCACATCCCAGAGGCTTGCCAACCGCCACTTACGGAACCCAGCGACCGTCGCTTCCGGAACCCAAGTATATTTCAACCTCAGCGCCATGCTTGAACCTAGGCAGCATTACTCTGTCAGTGGGCCCGCTCGTATCGCATGCGGCAAATGTTCTGTTCTCTGCTTGCTCAATTTCCAGTTTGCAGGCTTGCAAAACTTTCATGCTTGCAGACTTGCAAGCCCCAAGGTGTCGCCTGCCTTCATGGCGCTCTAGAGAGGGCGTTGCCCTCGTTGCCCGAGGGAGTTGGAGCCTTCTCCCTGGCGGGAGGCGGCCGCAACCTGGCGGAAGCCAGCGGACTTACAAAGTGGACGGCTCCGCCGCTGGAGACCTGCAGAACGGCTTCCAGACCTGGCCTTCTGCTTTTTCCTGCTTCAAGGAAGGAGGGAGGAGAGCCTTTTCTGCAATTCCCAGGCGATAGCGGGCGATTTTTTTTTGGGGGGGGGCGGGGGACCGGTATCGTCACGTTTTGCGCCGGCGCCGTCTGGGAGTGTCTAGGAATAAGCAAAGACATCGCAGAAGCCAGCACGAATGGTGACATTACCTGGGAGGGGGGCAGGGTGGGGGGGGCGGCAGGACTGGTAACGGCCGCTATCGTGAAATATCAGAGCCTCTCCCGAGGAGTTGACTTTTAGAATACCGCCGAAGACCGCCGAGGACGGCCCAGGAGCCCCAGGTAACAAGAGGTAAGTGGTCGAACACGTAACACTGATGAGGCTCAGTGCCCTTTGGTGTAGGCTTTGCGCCTCGCTTATTTTTTCAGCGCTCAGCCATGGACCGGCTAGCAGGATCGCGCTCGCCAAGATTATTTGAGGCCGCCGTACGAGACCTGTGTTCGGGCGGCGACTCAGGAGGAGGAAGGGGAAGAGGAGGACGAGGAGGCGGAGGAGGAGGTGGAGGAGGAGGAGGCGGAGGAGGAGGAGGAAGAGGAGGAGGGGGAGGAGGAGAAGCAGAAAGAGGGAGGAGGAGGGCTGGAGGGAGGAGGGAGGGCGGAGGAGGTAGAGAGAAGGCAGGAGGGAGGGATGATATGAGATGAGCGAGCGGCCTGAAGCTTGTCCTTGCAGGCTGACGCCTGCAAGAGAGGAGAGAGGAGGGCTGTCTGCAATAATCACACCTGGAGCTTTCGACGCGTTCCTTGTGTGTGTGTGTGTGTGTGTGTGTGTGTGTGTGTGTGTATGCGCCCTTCTCGGGCCAGACCCATCTGTGAGGGTCGCCGCGGGCCCCGAACGATGCCGAAACGCCCGTCGTTTAGCACGGAGGGGAGCGGGTCCTGAAGGAAACCGGTCCTGCACTCTGGGGCCTTCCCTCATGACGATTGCTTCATCCTGAGCCGTTTTCTGA